CTCCGTCTAGCTGGGTATTCGGTTTAATCTTCGTCCACGCTGGTCAGATGTCCCGGAAGAGGTGGGAATACCCACACTTTACCCCACCACACGCGGTACACCTGCCGATTGACTGTGGTGTATGAATGAAAAGTAGGAGGGATTTAAGAAACTTGCTCCATTGCTTCAACTGCCCTGCCCACAGGATGCAGCGTGCTAATCGTCACACGGCGGCATCAGCATCATCATCATTTGATTGTTATTACGTAATAATTCCCACCCCTCTTAGATGAAGGCCTCCACACACATTGTCAAGTCAGTTTGACCATAGTTCACCACGCTGGTTCAATACGGATTGGTGGTGAATGGGTAGAAGGGTGCCTCGGACCGTTTTTTCTTTAAACTTAATTTTCCATTCGTGTTAGCCGTGGTTGCGAATCAAACCACGGCGAGGCACCCCATGCATTCGCAGAGATTGCTAATATTCCAGACTCACGAATTGCATTTCGATAGTGTAACCATAGGAATCGTAGTCTAAATGTGCAATTAAGATTTTGTTCACGTTAGTATTGTATCCCGATGAATGGCATCGAGATAGCGAAAGTGCGCTCGTGGACTGTGTTAAGATAGGGCAAGCGTTAGCTGTTGTGAGTCGGCATTGAATTCCACTCACCGTGCGGCGGGATGAACCACCCACGGCTCCTTGCAGCGGGACAGACACCCCGTCACACTCACACGGACACAACTCCGGACACACAGCCAGCCAAGACACACACAGCCAAGACACAAGACAGCCGGACTCAACTCACGGAAAAAAGCTCGAAAGCCGCCGGATAGAGCGGCGATGTATACAGTCGGTTAGAAAGACAGACAAACCCGATACTCAGTCAGACACACACAGACAGACAGGCACCGAGTCAGACAACGCAGACACGCGGACAGATTGACACCCACAGCCAGCCAGACAGACACTCAGTCAAGCACGCAAACAGCAACAGAGCGAGGCGCGGGCAGATGGTCAGACACCCGCGGGTCTCCGTGCTTGCGTGGAGGAGTGGAGCCGGCGAGAATCCGGAGCGACGGAGGAGGTCTCATCAAACGGCGCGCGGAGAGAATCCGGCGCAATATCCGCCGCGTGCGAGCAGAGTCGGTGGTCGTCTGCCCCCACCACCACCCCCCACCACCCCCACCACCCCCCCCGGGTTGGCCGTGGATGTCATTTATTTATTTATTTTCCGCGTCCGGAGTGCGCGCGAGGTTCGCTTTTCGAGGCGTCCCAGTTTCGCGGAGCGCCGCCGTGGGGTTCGCTCTGCCAACTCCGCGACGCACGTGCGCGGGACGGGCTACGCGTACACGGCACGCACACGCCTCGCATGTCATACCATATCACATCACAGTACATGTCACACACGCACACGCCTCGCATGTCATCTACCATATCACATCATAGTACATGTCACACGCACACGCCTCGCATGTCATCTACCATATCACATCACAGTACATGTCACACACGCCTCGCATGTCATACCATATCACATCACAGTACATGTCACACACACCTCGCATGTCACATACCATACCACAGCATCACATCACAACACACATTTCACACACGTTACATATCATATACCACAGCATCACATCTAACACATCACTAAGACGAATATAAAGACACCCCGTATAGCCTTGACATACTGTTGGGGCAAGTGCTGAGCTCGTATGCCTTTATCTCCCCAGGGGCGATTCTTATACACCGCACCAGGTACTTATTTGAGGCTGAATCGATCTAGCGGAGGACCAGGACCGTTAGCGGAAATCGCTAACCGCTGCACTACCGCTCCCCACAGTACAACCGCACACACCACCCCATACAGCGTACAAGTCACACACCACCACATGCAACACACTACACAGCACGCATTTAACATTCAGAGCAAACACCCCACACACGAGACATCATACAGCTCACAAACCATTCCCCACATTACTCACCCAGCACATGATTGCATACCACACATCACCCCCCGTAACACTACATAGAGCACACCAGTCATCACACTTACACCTAACATTCAGCCACAGACAGGTAACTGCAGGCGTTCTCGCCTGTCAATCAAAATGCACTTATAACTCTTCACCTGCCACGCATGGCTAGTGACAATCCACGGCTACTCCCGAGTCTTAACTCTTCACTTGCCACCAAAGGTATTGCTGTTAACGCAATCAGTAGTTGACTACCGTAATCAATATTAACGATGCATTATTGTACTCCGTACAACCACTGCAGTTATCTGCTCTCAAATTTCCCTCACAGACTCCTCACTTGCCACCTCACCTGGATGGTCAACGCGAAAGCAATGGCTTTATCGACCAACTTAAAAAAAAATCCAACGCAGCCATAGTTTCATATTTTTTGTTACATTTGCAGTTGTCTTCTTTGCAAACTGCAGCAGCTTTCACGTGCAACAAAAAATCTGCACTGCACCGGATTTCACCCAGTTGGATGTTTGTATGTATGCATGGATGTTTGTATGTATGCAACATCAATCCAGCAGTGGATTGACAAAGGGAGCTGTAAATTATATTACATCGTTTCATGAAGTTAAAGCGGTCAGTGAACTTGACCAGGGTGTGTTTCGAGTCTGAAGCAATGCTGCGAGTCACTTATGCCCCCTGCCGTAAAAAATTAGGGCGAACACGATGGCAATTATTGAGTGGCCCGTAATGCACAGAACATTTTGCCTGCTTACTGTTGTGTGAAATATATTGTATCGTGCAGGAATACAAATTTATCTTGTAAACCATAAACAGAATAGTTTTGGGTTTATTTGGAAAACCATAAAACATTTTCACACAATGCCTAATTTAAGCGTGGTACAAAAAAATAATCGCTAAATATTTAGAAAACACAATTGTATGATAGTATGAATGCCCTTTACCTTGCAAAGCAGTTTGTATTTTTTGTTTTTACAAATTTGGCTATTATGTACCATTGTCAATAATAAAACTTCACACAGCCTAGAGGCCCCACACTTGAAAATCTCAATAAATAAGTAAAAAACACACCAAAATGTTAACAAAATAAATGTAACATTATAACCCGATTAAATTCTAATCATTGTTCAAATGCATGTTCATCATAATTACCGAATTACACTAATGCTCATTTACATAACCTGAACACTGCTGTAATATGCAACTTTGGAAAATGTATTCCTTAAATATTTTGTACGTGTTAATTGCATCAGTCATACATTCCACTTAACAAGTGCAGTTGCTTTTACTCTCTACAAAACGATGACACTTAAATTGGAGAAACTTTTACGGAAAAAAATTAAGAGAATCCAATAACCTAAAATGCGCTTCAGAGTGAGAACACACTGCGCTGGTCGAGGCAATGCACCTGCTGTCATCTTTGTTTAAATTCGCTCAGTCAATGAGAGCGACATACGCTTCGATCAAATAATTAGCGCTATTACCAAGACCCCAATGAAGCCCTCATGTATTGCTTATACGTAAGAAATAACGCCGTTAGAAACACATCCCCATATACAGTGAGGGGAAAAAAGTATTTGATCCCCTGCTGATTTTGTACGTCTGCCCACTGACAAAGAAATGATCAGTCTATAATTTTAATGGTAGGTTTATTTGAACAGTGAGAGACAGAATAACAAGAAAATCCAGAAAAACGCATGTCAAAAATGTTATAAATTGATTTGCATTTTAATGAGGGAAAGTATTTGACCCCCTCTCAATCAGAAAGATGTCTGGCTCCCAGGTGCCTTTTATACAGGTAACGAGCTGAGATTAGGAGCACACTCTTAAAGGGAGTGCTCCTAATCTCAGCTTGCTACCTGTATAAAAGACATCTGTCCACAGAAGCAATCAATCAATCAGATTCCAAACTCTCCACCATGGCCAAGACCAAAGAGCTCTCCAAGGATGTCAGGGACAAGATTGTAGACCTACACAAGGCTGGAATGGGCTACAAGACCATTGCCAAGCAGCTTGGTGAGAAGGTGACAACAGTTGGTGCGATTATTCGCAAATGGCAGAAACAGAAAAGAACTGTCAATCTCCCTCGGCCTGGGGCTCCATGCTAGATCTCACCTCGTGGAGTTGCAATGATCATGAGAACGGTGAGGAATCAGTCCAGAACTACACGGGAGGATCTTGTTAATGATCTCAAGGCAGCTGGGACCATAGTCACCAAGAAAACAATTGGTAACACACTACACTGTGAAGGACTGAAATCTTGCAGCGCCCGCAAGGTCCCCCTGCTCATGAAAGCACATATACATGCCCGTCCGAAGTTTGTCAATGAAAATCTGAATGATTCAGAGGACAACTGGGTGAAAGTGTTGTGGTCAGAAAAGACCAAAATGGAGCTATTTGGCATCAACTCAACTCGCCGTGTTTGGAGGAGGAGGAATGCTGCCTATGACCTCAAGAACACCATCCCCACCATCAAACATGGAGGTGGAAACATTATGCTTTGGGGGTGTTTTTCTGCTAAGGGGACAGGACAACTTCACCGCATCAAAGGGACGATGGACGGGGCCATGTACCGTTAAATCTTGGGTGAGAACCTCCTTCCCTCAGCCAGGGCATTGAAAATGGGTCGTGGATGGGTATTCCAGCATGACAATGACCCAAAACACATGGCCAAGGCAACAAAGGGATGGCTCAAGAAGAAGCACATTAAGGTCCTGGAGTGGCCTAGCCAGTCTCCAGACCTTAATCCCATAGAGAATCTGTGGAGGGAGCTGAAGGTTCGAGTTGCCAAACGTCAGCCTCGAAACCTTAATGACTTGGAGATCTGCAAAGAGGAGTGAGACAAAATCCCTCCTGAGATGTGTGCAAACCTGGTGGCCATCTACAAGAAACGTCTGACCTCTGTGATTGCCAACAAGGGTTTTGCCACCAAGTACTAAGTCATGTTTTGCAGAGGGGTCAAATACTTATTTCCCTCATTAAAATGCAAATCAATTTATAACATTGACATTTTTGTTGTTGTTATTCTGTCTCTCACTGTTCAAATAAACCTACCATTAAAATTATAGACTGATCATTTCTTTGTCAGTGGGCAAACGTACAAAATCAGCAGGGGATCAAATACTTTTTTCCCTCACTGTATATACACAAAATGCCTAATTTATAACCATTTTAGCACTGTTTCAATTTGCACCCACTTCTCCAGGAACACATTTTGAGTGCTAAGAGAGGTCTGCCTCTTTTTAAGCATGTTTCATGACGAGGACGCTTGTTTTCCAATTCGCAACATGAATGTGTATTTTACATTGTACACGTACAACTGTCGGTAATTTGTCATCCATTCCAGCTGAGCAGAGTTTCAAGTTAATCAAGTCTAAGAAGCTTTGCAGCTTGACAGATTAGTTTCTTAAGTAGTCCTTACCATGTAATTGTGGTGACGTGACAGCACCCATACATGAGCATATGTGCCACGCCTGGTTGTTTAGCTATACAGCAGCCTTGCCTCCTGGAGTTGTGTATCTCTGCACTCAATCTGTGAGTCTCTGCACTCAATCCCTGTGCCTCTGCATTCAATCCGTGTGCGCTACGTGTCTAAAGTGGGGATGCTGGCGATCAGTGGGAAGAAGGGGTGTCCGTGAATGCAGTTGTTGCTTCCGTCCGGCAGGAAGCGCCTCATCCTGCACAGCTTCTCTTCCATGTCTTCCCGCACGAGATGCCGTGGCAATTGCCGCGCCATGCGCACTGCCTCACCCTGTTCAATCATTGTCATTAATCTTGTCAGTAGGAACAACAACAACAAATACTCAACCGTTACGGAATGCATACAATACAAATCCACTTTGGGCTGAGGGGTGTTTTGGTTTCAAGTTTATTTTGTTTCACCAGCTGATAATTCAAGAGACTGGGATAATCTCATTTGCAAGTGACCTGCAGCATCAGTCTGCCGGAAGGGACAACGATCAGTTAAATTTGCTGGTAAATTTGGATTTTTTACATCTGCACACAACGTCCTACTTTTGCGACTGACGAGAGGGATTTTTTCATGTCCACTGTGAAGCAGCCAGTGGATATTATTATTGTTACTACCATGGCTGTTACACTTGCAGTGGACTAAGTACGCACTGGAATGTGTACCTGGAGGTAGTTGACGAGCTTGAGAGGGCGGCAGTGCTCGACCTCAGTGGCATGCTTGTGCAGAATGGCATCGAGAACCTCGCCCAGGTCAGACACTCCGTAGTAAGGCAGGGATGTGGCCAAGCCCTCCAACTCCGCCTCCCACTCACCGCTCACCCCATCTATGCCAGATAGGGCAGGGGGAAGGTATGTTCAACCGAGGGACTCAATCACGCAGATGAAAACTGCTTATTTGGATACACATTATTTCATACAAACTACTGTATAAGCTCTACAAATGCTATGCAATCTGTAAATAACTGATGAGTCATATGTTTAGGTTCTCTATATTAATGTCCTTGACTGGAAAGCCGATTATCAAAAAATATGCAGGAGCGTAACTATCCTGGGGGCAGGGGATGCCTTGACCCCCTCTGGTGGCCAAAGTTATGAATTAGGGCCCCCTTGACAATAACCATGAGCGCCCCTACAGCGTTAAATGTTCGAGACCGTGAGCGTAATGATGTGATTAGGCAGGAGGAGCCACGATATATAATAGCCGAGGTGTGACTGTGCAGGATAATCAATTATTTGGGCCCTACCTGACCAATTACCCCACCCCTGAGATGCCAATGCAGTTATGCCACTGGATATATGGTAATCATTCTATACATTTTAATTAAAGTTTTGATCACCAATTAATTATATGATTATCACCACCACTAATATAAGCATTAGCATAGGGTCACAATAGGTATCTGACGCTCCCACTTGTCAAATGAGGAAAACAAAGGGCCAGTAAGTACAAGGTTTCATCGGATGCAGTGGGCAAATGCAATTGATGTGGCCTTGCACTCACTGTTCAAGATGCGCACGTGGAAGCCGTTGGCCAGCAGCCTCTGATCGGTGATGTAAAGGGAAGGGTCTGGTGGCCTCGTCTCACTTTGCAGGCTGGGCAGAAGTTCCAGGTACTGTGAACTACCAAGCAAACTGCATGCACATGGAATATTATTTAACTTATGGATCAAAGCTACATATAATACATCTGTTTAACAAGGTAACTCTGCTGTGGTGGTCCCTGTGCCATAAGTACCTCTGGTTGAGTGGGATGGGGATGCCAAGGTTCTCGATGGGCAGGACATGGTTCTGCAGAAGACGCCGATACAGCATGGCCTCCTCCAGACGAAAATGATTTATTGCCACCAGGGAGTTGCCAGCCTGGCCCAACCAAGCGCCACGTGAGCCCAGCGGCATTAGCAACTTCACTGGCTTTGGACCATCATCGGATTTCTGGAGATAAGAAAGAGGATCATTAACAAACTTTCTGGTAGTTATACCATTGAATGAATTAACACATACAAATATGAATTAACATTAAAGTAACATTAAATCTTAACTGTGCAGTGCTAAATACATAAATATAGGGAAATTCAGGAAAAAGTCACTTCAATTAAAACAAATGTCAGCTTAAACATTGTCTCCCTTAACAAAGGACTTAAATGTTTCAATGGGCTGTCCGCTCTCTGATTTTAATGAAAGTTATAATCTTTCACAGCCAAGTGTTTTTGGACGTAAAACTTGAAACTATATTTCAATATCGGTCAGCACATGGAATTCACAACAATATTCATACCTGTGACTGGCTGTACTCCCTGAGTAGCTGCAGCTTCTGCCTAATGGACGGCAAGGAGAAGGGCACCTCCCGAACGGAAGGCAGAACGGGAGCCTGGGCCACACTCTTAGGCGTCAGCAGCAGCTGATCCAGACGGGGCTGGTTGTCTGGAGGGGAGATGGCATTCATCTTGCGTTTGTGAACCCCGTTCCTTGCTGCTGCTTTTGGAGTGCTCACTTGCCTGTTGTCACCATGCTGTTGATGATTCTTCGTGGAATGCACATTTGCAGCCATCTCCAGCTGTTTGTTGTAGTTTTCCAAGTCCTTGGTAGCCTTATCTTCATACCTGAACATTAAAGTTGTTAAAACAAATATACTATATGCAGTAAATGCAGTGTCCATTACTAAACTGAAAATGTGTGTGTACTAGAAGTACTTAAATAATGTGAACACAAGGACAGGTATAATGTTTTTCTTGCATTGTTACAATTGGGATTGTTAGATCACCATTAAAACCTGCTAAAATGCTACGTCAACAAGCATTTCGTTTTTTAACCATTTAACAAGTCAAGAGTTTTGCGCCACTGTAGGGGTTTGCCTCTAATAACCAATAATCTTTCGGACGTCCACTATTTACGTTGCTCCTATTTGTTGTTTCCCGAAAACGTTGCCAACGAAAAGGGGAATGCAATTTGATTAAAAATGCATCGATTCACTACAAAGTTGATTTGAAAGAATTTAAAGAACGCAGTTGTTTGGGCAGCGTGCGCGACAATGCACCACGCCATCAGGCACTCAAGTCTCGATGTGTACATCGCCATACTGTACATTGTACTCCCCTCTCTAAATCTCCAGCGCCATCTCTGGTGAGTACCCTGCATTAACTTACATTATACTTTCAAATGTTACATAATATATTTTTGTGAATATTTCTTCATTTCATTGCCTTCACAATTAGTTCTCATTCCTCCCGACTTCACCCTCGCTGCCCCGTGAGGCGATACAAAGATGTGTCCACAAGGGGGGGTAGCCACAACCTCCGACGCAGCTCGGGCGGCAGCTGCTCCCACTCGTCGAACAGCAGGACGCGCATCTCCTCGGGGCTCGCTCCCGGGTTCTCGGCCTGCAGGTTGGCACGTCGCTCTTTCAAGAAGATCTGCCTTGCCTCCTGCGGCTTGCGCACCGCACGGTTGCTCAGCAGGTCGTACGCCGTCGACTGAACAACCTTCCCATCGAGAAACCCCGTCTTTTTTCTGGGGCTTTAAACGAGACAGACAAACAACATTGCTGTAATGGCGACTAGAAATGTAATATCCCTCTAGGTTATTCAAACCATGCAGGATGTTTGGTATTTTGTATTAAAAATAATTGCTTTTCTCAGCTTTTTCACAACTACAGAGGGAATATTGATTTCTGCATGGATACAATGAGCCAATCACGTTATCATCAATCATATCAATGACATATCCATACCTTTTATTGAAGCTGCTGCCACCAGTACTCGTGAAAATATTTCTCTCTCGTGAATCTGCAGATTGGAGGCCAGGGGTGTACACTTTCACGGGCTCCAGAGGACAGCCTGCAGAATCCTTGAGCCATGTGCCTCGACTCCAGCTGTCAGCGGTAAGCTCCGGAGTGGATTTTGCTATTCCCACTGGATTATCACAACTGCTTTCTCGTTCTGCAAATGTGTCCTTGGAGTTGGGCTGTTCATTTTCTATTCCCTCCAGCTCAGTCGCAAGATTGCCTACACTCTCAGAGAGTATCAAGCCAAATTCATTTGTATTAACAATGGGGCAGTCATGCCCAAGTCCACTCACTGAGGATTCATTTGGCTCTTTACTCGTATAAAGGCAGTCACCTAAAAAGTCATCAAGCTTATCAAGTTCTTGATTTTCACCAACAAATGCATGAACACTTGTATTTTTGGAAATGGTGATGCTTTTTGTTTCAGTATTCTCACCCTTACTTCGATGAGACAAAGAGGTTGGTAATGTTGTTGTCATGTCATCTTTGGGGTCATCTGTCTTATTGTTATTTTCACAACTTATGCCTATAGAGGATACGGAAGCCATTCCTTCAACTTGTTCTTCATTTTGAACAATGAGAGGCCCATACACCTGCAGCAACATTTCATCCAGCTCAGCAAGGATAGCCTCCTGAAAAGCATACAACCATGAAGTCAATAACCTGATGGATAATACAAAACCTAAACAATTATCAATGTTTTGATTTAAAGCTTTCGTGACTGCAGGGATTCACATTCTTGGTTCTTTCGGTAAAGTCACGTAGAAGGGAAACAATAAAATACAAATATAAAACGATAAAATTCTCACGACGTTTCAACTCCAACATAAGCAATCATCATCAGGTGTGAAAACCACAGCAAGAAAATTTGAAAAAAAGTGGCGTTTTTTTAACGTTAGCACCACGGAGAGCGATCTGGCAGTTATTCAGATGGACGAGTCCATCTATGTTCGGAAGAGAGGAGGGGGGTGACGAAAATAATGGATGCGGTCTGGCTTAGCAATCATTGGAAGGATTTGATAAACCATTTCGGGTCTTAATTGGTTGTTCACGCTTACGGTGGCTTTCAGACCGCATCCATTATTTTCGTCTCCCCCCTCCTCTTTTCCGAACATAGATGGACCCGTCCATCTGAATAACTGACAAATCGCTCTCCATGGTGCTAACGTAAAAAAAACGCCACTTTTTTTCAAAATTTCTTGCTTGTGTTGCAGTCGAAACGTCGTGAGAATTTTATTGTTTAATATTTTATTATTTTATTGTTTCCCTTCTACGTGACTTTACCGAAAGAACCAAGAATATAATTATCAATGTATTGAATAATTGCATGCAAATGCCCTTTCAGAAATATTATGAATGTACCATAATCATTGTAGATCAAATATGTGTCAGAGCATATTTGTCAAACAGCCACCACTATAGAGAGAATTACATTTGCAAAATATAAGTTCATATTATTGCAATGTATCACATCAATCATTAATTCTGGTATGACATGGTCAATGTGAAGCAATCCAGGGAGTTGTGCAGCATAAGCTGAATCCATGAAATAAACAGGTTGAAATTCATGGCAAGCCTAAGTGACAATCCTGTGGACCTCACCTTGTTGTGCAACATGACTTGCATCTTGTCTGGAGTCAGGTTGACATCTATGGTATTCGCGGGAATGCTCAGGCTCAGGAAAAAGACAGGGTAGTGGGTGTGTGTGGAGCTGCTGGGTGACGTGTTCCTGTAATACTGCCGCACTAACTGCACACAGCAGAGGGGAAGGATGAAACGCACCTACATGAAGCTCAAAAATGACTGCTCACCATAGTCAACCATAGTTACTGCAGTGTTGTATTTATAAATGACTCAATGTGTAGTGGTTTTATATATATGTGAAAACTTTATCACCTTGAGTAGGTCTTTGTAGTGCACAGGACGACCATTAATGGCGAGGAGACATCGGTCACTGCTGGTGCTGCTTGTGATTCCAGGATCAGCGCCAGGTTTTGGCACAAATCCACTAATACTCAGCTGTCACACACAAGTGCACACATTTGTTAACATATTCTGAGTTATTGTATTTGCTCCATACTATCACATTGCATTTGCTGAATTCATCTTTGAGTGTTAGTTTGCAAATGCGCCAATGCTGTTACGCTCTGCAGTGGGACCTGCATGGTGGACGCTTGGTGCTGCACGGGTATCATGCTGCCCATCACAGTGGTGCCCAGGCACCGCAGCAGAGCAGTGCGCTGATCCGCCACGCGCGGCTTCTGCCACACCACAGCCTGCAGCAGGCATCGCCACGTCAGATGTGGCGAAAATGACAACGAAATGCACAGTACAAGGCCTGCCTCCAGCAAACACCATGACCATTTTTTTCTATTCTATGTAATCGACCTATTAATTTGCTCACACTTATTGGAATGTTTGACCGGGCGTGCAATGTCAAGCGATAAATAGGTGGAAAAACAGCAATGTCAAATCTGTAAAAAAAACAGAACAATGACGCAACATGCCTTGTTGTGAGCGAGGGAGAATCTGATGTCTGGGTGAATGACTCCATATGCGACCAAGAGGTCCTCAATCTTCTTCAACTCTTCTTTGCACTTCTTGGCCGTTGAGTAAAACTGCTTCCGTACAGGTAGGTTCTTGAACAATTTCGTGATGCACACTGTCGTACCTACGGAAATGTTTAATATATAATTGTAAAACGTGAGCTATACAGAACAATGCATTGCTTATCCCAGTATGTATGTAAAGCGTATATGCAAAGAGCATCACCTTTTCCTAAGTGAGAAGGTTTCCTTGACGTAACATGGCCTTGAGAATCCAAGCTGTATATCATGCTGACCTCATCTTCTGCTGTACAGGTTGTGATGGACACCTACAAAGCATTATCAGTTGCACTCATAAAACATATATCTGTATAGATAGAATGAAGTGTGCAGCGAGAGCTGTCTATTCAGCATTAATACATGGCACCATGTCAGATTACAAATTTTACAGATTTTACATTCTACCTCAGTGACGACAGAAATCATTTGTTATTTAATTCACATGACCCAATGTCTTCCACTGCCTGGCTTGAATACTGCCAAATATAAACACCACCGACTGAGCAAATCTAAGTTGTTCCTAAATATGGTCATAAATTACGTCTGACACAAGTGTAAAAAACTCTTTAAAATAATACTCGCATTCTGATCAATGAACATGAAGTACATGTGGCTAGTTTTCAGGAAAGAGCGCAAGGCAGCCGCATATGAAGACACAAACCTCGGCAACAGCGCAGATGGAGCCCAGGCCCTCCCCTCGGAAACCATACGTAGCGATATCCTCAAGGTCCTCGTGGCTGCTGATCTTGGAGGTGTAGTGACGCACAGCCATGAATTGTGTATCTTCACTTCTCACGCCATCTCCATTGTCTCGTACCTCGATTTTATCAAACCCATAATTTTCCTGGAGAGATGGGCACAACACTCCAATATCAACTCCTTTGTTAAATGTCACCCATACTCAAATCACTTGAAAATGCATGTCTCTATTTGTGGCCCTGAGCCAGTGGTTAAAATTCCACATTCTTATGGTAGGGAACCAGTTTCTCCATAAAACAGCTGACTTGTGAGAAAATACTTCATTGAGATTTAAAGTAAATATTACACCATTCATCCAGGTCTCCCTAATGAAAGGAACATTTTTATCAGCTGTAACCTAGTTAGGTTCACTATCTTTAAAGGCAAATGCAATGCTTTTAAGTAATGTATAAAGTTTGGAAACTTGTCGGCAGATTAACTTGTATAAACCATCCACAATGATCCCAAGGACAGCTGACTGTGAAAAGTGAGTTGGTACAAATTGCTATCTTTGACATCAACCACAACTTCCTTTTGGTAAAGCTTTCCAGTCTTTGGAGTTTCTAGCAGAATACACACTTGAATATGACCATATTTTCTCAACATACCTTATAGGCTTTTTTGTTTAAAGAATATAATGGATAGCGTACCACAAAACTGAGTTCCAGGCCCTTTCCTCAGCATTTTCCCAATAGAAAGCACTATGGAATGGTTCCTTGTAAAAAAAAAAAGCTGTAACATAAATGTTACTTCTATTCTATGCCACCATTTGCAGTCCACCAATGGATGATGGCCTTCAACATGTTTTTTTTACCATACTTGTCAGTGTAGGGTAGAGAAGGGTAGTTGGGCCAGACTGGTTCTGATATCACTTGCCACTGATGTTTTCAGCGGTTGGGAATAAAACTCAAGTAACCGGGTTCATAAGGCAACGCTCAAAACACTTAATCACCGTGCCACCCCAGACGTTATATACATTTTTTTAACTGTTCAGTTATCATTTTGATTTAAAGCTTTCGTGACTGCAGTAATTCATATTCTTAGCTCTTTCGGTAAAGTCACGTTGAAGGGAAACAATAACATATATATATAAAACAAAATTCTCACGACGTTTCGACCATAACACAAACGGTCATCATCAGGTGTGAAAACCAACGTCAAGAAACATTTGAAAGTGGCGGTTTGCATTTATTTATTTTAATCCGTGATCTGGTTCTGTCTGTAAAATGTGATTCCGGACATACAGTACCCTGGCGTCAACAAACTAAGTTGCCTCTGTGGTAGTAGTTACATTGGAGAAACCAAACGCCATGTCTCAGACCGCATTCGTGAACACAAAGCAGACCTTAAACACGGTAGGACCAACATCTCGGCCGTGGCAGATCATTGTTATAATTCAGTAGGCTCACATGACATTGACTTCTCCAAGACAGAGGTTCTTTGTAAGCCATCTGGCTACCATGAGAGATTAATTCATGAGGCTATCCACATATACAAGCAGAGACAATTTCAACCGAACCGAGAAGATGGATTGTGGCTTAGCAATCATTGGAAGGATTTGATAAACCATTTCAGGTCTTGATTGTTCACGTTTACGGTGGCTTTCAGACCGCATACATTAATTTTTCGTCTCCCCCCTCCTCTTTTCAGAACATAGATGGACTCGTCCTTCTAAACAAACTGTCAAATCGCTGCCCGTGGTGCAAACGGTTTTTAAAAATAAATAAAAACACCGTTTAAAAATAAATCAATGCAAACCATCACTTCTTTCAAATGTTTTTTGCCGTTGGTTTTCACACCTGATGATGACCGTTTGTGTTATGGTCGAAATGTCGTGAGAATTTTTATTGTTTTATATATATTATATTATTTTATTGTTTCCCTTCAACGTGACTTTACCGAAAGAGCTAAGAATATGTTCAGTTATCAGTGAAGCAGTCCTGGCCTAGGCTGGGTGTCACGGACCAGCTTGATCTCCACGCTGGTGGCGTGGGCATCCAGCGAGTTCTCCAGCAGCTCCTTGACGACGCTCCACACCGAGGAGGCGACCTGCGCACTCGACAGCAGCCGCACCGTCTCCGCTGACAGCTGCTTCATCACAATCTGGTCGGGAGGAAGTGGCCGCGAGAGACCACATGGGGCAAAGGGAAGAGGTTCATCGTATCGCATTGTTTACGCCAATGGGTATGCTCATTAAGTGACAATGATTTTAGCATGTCGCTTGAACACTTTAGTAAAACGTGATTTGGTGATACTGCATTGGCATTGATGCAAAAGCACCAACAAAAGCTCACATTTTTCAATAACATTACCCTAAAACGAAACATAAAACAGATGGCGTTTTTGGAAATGGCAAAACGACTTTAGCAAAAAAAAAAGTGACAACTGTCCCCTTGCAAATGTGCAGAAAGAGTCTCTGGTACTCCTATCCCCACAGATTTGTATCCAATCACAGATCAGATTATCAGATGGTGACATATTTTGGGCCACTGCTATAGTTTTCGTGGAGGGTTAGGTGGTTTTTGATGTGATTAGGAACACGATACAAGATTATATAAGACTTTCTCTTGCCACAACTGTGGGAGGGTGGGTCTAGGCATTGCAATTGGACCAATGCGTCCAATAAAACTCAAGTAACGTTCAAGTCACGTAGAAATAAATAAAATCATAATAGAATACGTTTCCATTGCAACACAAGCAACCACCAACAGGTACAAATTAATGAGAAAAATAGTAAACTTGGAAATATAATTCAATACAACTCAGAAGCATAAATATATATCTCATAGGTAGTGATTCAAGTTGCAGTTTATTGGCAATAGCATTCCAGACCATGGGGGCATCAATAGCAAAGGCCCTTCCTCCAGTTTTTGTACGGCAATAGGTAATGTGAAGCTGGTAAATGAGAGACAGCCTTCTGACCAGCGTTAGACCAGACAACGCCAAAAGGCGAACAAGTATAAACGCGATGCAAATATCAAAGCATTAATAGGCTTGTTTTCACAATAAGCATCCTTACAAAATTATTTTTCTGTTAACATGCATATCACAGCCACGACACATTCAACACGCGCGGTGAACCCGTTACACACAGCACCCAGCCCCGAGTTGATATGCTCGTACGGCAACTCACAGCAACCCGGAGCAACTCGCGGCAACACAACACCACGAGCAGCAACCCGGAGCAACACAACACCACGAGCAGCAACCCGGAGCAACACAACACCACGAGCAGCTTGTGTTGCAGGGCCGCGTCTTCAAGGGAGTGTTACCACCGCGAGCCGAGGCCGCTCGAGGCCGAGCACCGCGTACTTCTCGGCCACTTAGGCGACTCTTGGCTATAATAAAGAGCGCGGTTGTGCCAACGCGAAGGCAATTACAGAGAGAAGGCCCACGGTAGATCGACTGTTGGCCGTGCGACCCAAGCTATACGAGCAAACCAGCGCAAGCCCACGCTCCTTCGCCAAACAGTATCCAAACTACACGAACTCTCCCGAAGGCCTCTCGTCGTGGCTCGCAGCCCTCGACATCGGCAACTTGGCTGCTGAAGCGTAGTGCCCACGACACGCAAGAAAGCGAACAGAAGGCGACAGGGGAGCTGCGGTGTTTACATCGCGCACACGGCGGCGGTACCCGGGGTTGTCGCGACTGCGGTTCGTCACCACTTTGGTTGGCGCGCGCGCGCGCGAACAACACGTGGGGGAAGCTGACGTCATCACGTCAAGCTAGGCCGGGGGGACGTTTCGCTTCTGGGGGACGTCATCACGTAAAGCCTGGCCAGAGACGTTTCGCTGCTAGTGACGTCATCACGTAAAGCCAGGCCAGGGGGACGTTTCGCTTCTGGGGGACGTCATCACGTTAAGCCAGGTCAGGGGACGTTTCGCTTCTGTTTGACGTCATCACGTCAAGCCAGGCCAGGCCGTTCGCTGCTGATGACGTCATCACGTCAAGCCAGGCCAGGGACGTTTCGCTGCTGGGGGCGTCATCACGTCAAGCCAGGCCAGGGACGTTTCGCTGCTGGGGGCGTCATCACGTCAAGCCAGGCCGGGGTCAACGTAACGACGTTAGGTTTTTTTTATGACGTCAAAATCCGGTTGAGGGACGTTTCTTTGCAAATGGCATCGCCGCGTCCACGCGTTTTAGCGAATCCCCTCGCGCCTTCCATGTATTATTTGTATATATTTTTCCGTGGCTTGCTTACCTTGTCTCTACCTTACTCTTGTATCCTCGATTGTACTTTTTTGTTGATGTAACTTGCTGACCCGCCCTTACTCGGACATCCGTAAGAAAGAGCTTTTTAGCTCATCGGATTTTTCCAGGAAAATGTTATTCAAATTTTGCTGATGACATCATCACGTTAGCCGGTTACGTAATGACGTTAGCACAGCAGTACGTTCGCTGGATCGCGTCATCACGTTGCGCAATTTGCCGATGACATGACGTTAGAAGCGTGCGGAACGTTCCACCTCTGAGGGGGGGGGGGGGTCATCAGGTTGGTGTCAGCGAATGTCTCGGTCTTATTTTTAAACGGCGTATATAAATGTATGCAAACCGACACACCTGAAGACGACCGTTTGTGTTATGGTCGAAACGTTGTGAGAATTTTTATTGTTTTATATATATTTTATTATTTTGTTGTTTCCCTTCAACGTGACTTTACCGAAAGAACTAAGGATATGCATTACTGCAGTCACGAAAGCTTTAAATCAAAATTCGTCTGCGTTGTTATAAATGGCGTCACGACGTTAATCAGAAAACAAACGCCTGTGACGCATGACGTCACTACGCGACCAACCCCCGCCCCCCGCACAAACACTCGTCATCTCTTGATTTATAGCTTTCGTGATTGCCGGGATTCATATTCTTCAGGCGATGATTGCTTGTGTTGCAGTCGAAACGTCGTGAGCATTTTATTGTTTTATAATCTTATTATTTTATTGTTTCCCTTCTACGTGACTTTACCGAAAGAACCAAGAAGATGAATCCCTGCAGTCACGAAAGCTTTAAATCGAAACCAAGAATATACATATACAAACACAGAGACAATTTCAACCGAGAAGATGGATTCGGGCTTAGCAATCATTGGAAGGATTTGATAAACCATTTCGGGTCTTAATTGATTGTTCACGCTTACGGTGGCTTTCAGACCGCATCCATTATTTTCGTCTCCCCCCTCCTCTTTTCCGAACAATGATGGACTCAAATTTTGATTTAAAGCTTTCGTGACTGCAGTAATTCATATTCTTAGTTTTTTCGGTAAAGTCACGTTGAAGAGAAACAACAAAATAACAAAATATATATAAAACAATAAAAAATTCTCACGACGTTTCGACTGCAACACAAGCAGTCATCATCAGGTGTGAAAACCAACGACAAGAACATTTGATACGCTTGTGCCGACTGAAGATGTGTGGAAGGGGTTATGGCTAGGTTATATTGTGTAAGTTAAACGTGTGACTTAAACCCTCCTCCAACCGCAACAGCCGATGATTAGAGGTAGATGGAGACAAATCAATTGGTGGGACAATATGGGCAGTTAGATTGGACCAAACCGACAATTGCATACAATGTAGATTGTAGCACATCTGTCCGGGGCATCGTAACAATCTTTGTACGTAAATAACTTTGTCCGTAGTTTTTTTTTTTGTCCGTCAATCACATTAACTTGAACAATATTCGCTGTCGAGTCAAGTGAGGCTCACTCTGACCAAAAGGATCCAGGGATTTTTGGCACCGATAACCTGTGTATGACATTTGACCTCGGGGAGGAAAAAAACCCACCGTGACCGAACATTATCACGGTGCGAATCGCGATGACTGCAGCACAACGTGGCTGACAGTGCGGGATTGCATCTCACGCAGCTTCGGATCACGAATGCAATGTAATTTTATTTTTGTGGTTTAAGAGAACAAAAATTATCTTAAATTTTGATTTAAAGCTTTCGTGACTGCAGTAATTCATATTCTTAGTTTTTTCGGTAAAGTCACGCCGAAGGGAAACAACAAAATAATAAAATATATATTTTGTTTAAATATATATTTTATTATTTTGTTGTTTCCCTTCAACGTGACTTTACAGAAAAAACTAAGAATATAAAAATTATCTTGTCCATAAGACGGGCTGGCACCAGTTTGTAGCATAATGGCCGTTTATCTATGAAAACCTCACTGAGCCTTTAAGCCATAATAGAGCTGTTTTGGGTTATATCGCGTATATATATGTCGTTAAACCCACCACCTGACACAGCCAATTAGTAAGATTTGTATCATAAACAAAATGTCAATTCGTTACTGGTACAGCACACCGTTGTGTTGGAGAGAAAACCCACAACATTTACAATTCGAATACGACGTTTCGCCAGTAATTGCAACTAGCATCATCAGGTGGCAGCCAAATTATTAGAGTAATCCTCCTGTCTCGGTCTTGAACAAAAATCTACTAATTGGCTGTCGGATGGTGGCGGGGACATACATGTGCCGTTAAACCCGCCACCATCCGACAGCCAATTAGTAGATTTTTGTTCAAGACCGAGACAGGAGGATTACTCTAATAATTTGGCTGCCACCTGATGATGCTAGTTGCAATTACTGGCGAAACGTCGTATTCGAATTGTAAATGTTGTGGGTTTTCTCTCCAACACAACGGTGTGCTGTACCAGTAACGAATTGACATTTTGTTTATGATACAAATCTTACTAATTGGCTGTGTCAGGTGGTGGGTTTAACGACATATATATACGCGATATAACCCAAAACAGCTCTATTATGGCTTAAAGGCTCAGTGAGGTTTTCATAGATAAACGGCCATTATGCTACAAACTGGTGCCAGCCCGTCTTATGGACAAGATAATTTTTATATTCTTAGTTTTTTCTGTAAAGTCACGTTGAAGGGAAACAACAAAATAATAAAATATATATTTAAACAAAATATATATTTTATTATTTTGTTGTTTCCCTTCGGCGTGACTTTACCGAAAAAACTAAGAATATGAATTACTGCAGTCACGAAAGCTTTAAATCAAAATTTAAGATAATTTTTGTTCTCTTAAACCACAAAAATAAAATTACATTGCATTCGTGATCCGAAGCTGCGTGAGATGCAATCCCGCACTGTCAGCCACGTTGTGCTGCAGTCATCGCGATTCGCACCGTGATAATGTTCGGTCACGGTGGGTTTTTTTCCTCCCCGAGGTCAAATGTCATACACAGGTTATCGGTGCCAAAAATCCCTGGATCCTTTTGGTCAGAGTGAGCCTCACTTGACTCGACAGCGAATATTGTTCAAGTTAATGTGATTGACGGACAAAAAAAAACCTACGGACAAAGTTATTTACGTACAAAGATTGTTACGATGCCCCGGACAGATGTGCTACAATCTACATTGTATGCAATTGTCGGTTTGGTCCAATCTAACTGCCCATATTGTCCCACCAATTGATTTGTCTCCATCTACCTCTAATCATCGGCTGTTGCGGTTGGAGGAGGGTTTAAGTCACACGTTTAACTTACACAATATAACCTAGCCATAACCCCTTCCACACATCTTCAGTCGGCACAAGCGTATCAAATGTTCTTGTCGTTGGTTTTCACACCTGATGATGACTGCTTGTGTTGCAGTCGAAACGTCGTGAGAATTTTTTATTGTTTTATATATATTTTGTTATTTTGTTGTTTCTCTTCAACGTGACTTTACCGAAAAAACTAAGAATAAAAATGATGGACTCGTCCATCTGAACAAACTGCCAAATCGCTCTTCGTGGTGCTAACGTTAAAACAACGATTAAAAAAAAAATGTTTTGCTGTGGTTTTCACACCTGATGATGATTGCTTGTGTTGCAGTCGAAACGTCGTGAGAATTTTATTGTTTTGTATTTTTATTACTTATTGTTTCCCTTCTATGTGAGTTTACCGAAAGAACCAAGAATATGAATAAAAATATACTCAGTTTAACACGTAGGCATTCGCGACCAATATTATTCATAATAAAGGTTTTTTGGGTTAGATCGCGTTTATTTACGACACATTTATAACGACACATTTATAAATAACACATTTATTTATAAATAAACGCGATCTAACCCAAAAACCTTTATTATGAAGAATATACTCGTCATCTCGTTTCTGCCGATGTCACTTTGTTACGTGGCTACGTCATTACGTCGAACGTGATGACGGATCCAGCGTAACGTACGGCTGTGTTTTTACATCATTACGTAAAAGGCTAGCGTGCTGATGTCGTCAGTAGAATTATAAAAAAAAATTTCCCTGGAAAAATCCGATGAGCTAAAAGCCACTACGTCGCACGTACATCCAAAAACGTCATTTCGTCGTGCCCGTGACGTCACGACGCACGCCACGCCCCCTCCCCCTGGTGCCGGTGACGTCACGTGGACGGCAGGGTGGTTGAAGGAGGAACGCGCGAGCGTCGTCCGTGTCGCTCGGTGCCCAACGTCCTCCGGGTTCCTTCTGGCTCCGTACCCCCCCCTCCCTCCCTCCTGGCGCTCCCCTCATAGCCGCCACAGACCACGTCCTCGCATCCTTCGCGGCTGTCGGTGTCGCTGAACGGCGGCGCGGACAGCGCGAGGCTTCGCTCCGACGCGTCACAGCACTGTACGTACAGTGTCCGTACAGTGCCCGTGGTGTTACCGCGCGAGTCTCTCCGCCTTCTCGTCCGGAGGTGGAAGCGAGCGAGGGCGGACTCGGAGCAAGCGGCACGCGCACATCTTGCGAACAAAGGCGTGAGTGGCGCAATACACATTCGCGACACCTTTGCGGAACATATTTGAGTGGGCACGGCAGTGCAGCAGGATCTTCCGGAGTTGCAGCAGGACGCCCATCGTGTATGCGGTACTGCGTGAGTGACGCAGCGACCCACACGTGTAGGGCTATGACACGGGCTGACGGCAGGATCAGTCGTCTAGATATGTCGCTTTGTTTATGTTTTATTCACATAGGGCAACGATGCCTCAAGTAGAAAGTTACGCCATTCCATGAGTATAAGGGTGAGTTACACGGCAGCCCGCACACCATCAGCACCCGTGTTATTGGCGCACAGTGTGGCAAAGGAATATTTAATGTAAAGTGTGTAAGCCGAGCCAATCGCATAAAGTTCGCGCAGCGATTAACATGCGGGGCATAGTGCATGTACACTTGTGTATAGAGTACACGGTTCACATAGAATGCGAAAGTGACAAACGTAACGCTGTATCTTTACAATATTTTATACGTCGCACGCATGGTAGTTATAATAATTGAAAAACCTTTAAGGGAATATGGAGTTATTTTTATAGCCGAGCAATGTATTTTTTTTAAACAAGTTTTGCTGGCTGGATTTCTGTCTGGCTGGGGTGGAGCTGTCCTTAGCGCACGTCTGCGGATTTACGTCACCCGCATCGTACTGTACAGGGTTGCGCCGGGTTCGTGCGTGCTGATGTCCCGCTTCCTCCCCCCTGTGGCCGTGTATCCCACGAAAACATGCCATGGAGGAGGATGTGAAACAGAGGGGAAAGCGAGAGAACAAAACTGAAAGAAGAGAGCGAGGGAAATCGAAGAGGAGTGGGAGTGGGGATTATGGAGAGGCAAGAGAGATTTAGACAGGAAATGGTGAGGTGGGAATCAGGAGAGTGACAGTGATAAGTGAGAGTAATGGATAGAGCGGCTTAGATACAGTGCAGGAAGGCGATGAATAGAGGAGAGAGGTGGGTAGGTAGGAGAGGAGACAGGGATATAAAAATGGTGAGAAGTCGAGATAAATGTGGATATACATTACAGAGAAGGCAAGAAGAAAAAAGCTGGAGATAGAAAGGGCTCTATGTAAGATTAAAGGTTTTGCTGGGATGGACGTACTGTCACGTCCATTGGACTTGCGGGTTGCTATTCAGCATTAAACATTTCGCATCATTTCCAGCACTCCTTATAAACTGCATAGGGCATTTTTACTGTAACTCAAGAAAAGATGATGCAATGTGAATCAAATTTGAATAGAAATCTGTTTTACTATGAGCGACTTACCCTGTTGAAAACCTACATTTATTAAAGGTTATCCCAAAACTTGTAGACAAAAAGCAGCGCTAAAGGACCGGCCTCTGCTTCCCGGCATCACTAATAATATGCTTCTGAGGGCAAAGCCGTATTGGAATTAGTTGCATAAGCTGCCTATGCATGGTTTTTCTTTGAAGTTTCTGTTAGGTAGTTCAACGTACAACATAGTTAATGATTATCTGTCAGTATTAAGTATTGTACATTATGTTTTTAAATTACTGTTGTATTTATCTCCAGTAAATACTTTTTTCCCACTGAATATTTGGAGATTATATTACTCGAATACCATTAACCATAACCTGAGCGCTGATGATCCCCGTAGTATATAAATGATTCATTTATAGTGATAGTATAAGGTCGAGATATTAATTCGTTTTACCACGTTGACAAAGAAGGCTTAATTGATTATGCATTTTAATTGTTAAATTTATAAAACACTATTCATGGTTGGCTAAGTTAATTTAATGTTCGTACACATTTATTTCCATAGCCTAATTATAAATGGCTTGAACAAGCTACATATAACTTGCCTTTTCTATTGTGGTGAACACTCTTTTTGTCTGATTTGTACACGATTTTTTTTTACATACATTGTCCACTTAATAACTTGTGTAACAGAAGTACCCTTGTTTGGCATGCAATAATCAATGCGTCAAAACAATAGAAATGACCGTTCTTGTCTCCAAAACGCCCAGAGCACGTTCCACCAGTGCTGTCCCTAACTTTCCTGCTTATTGATGCTCTTTGTCCAGGCCTGTTGCCAAGTAATGCATTCCACATTTTAATGAAGATGTTAGCAACCGTTTTTGTTAAAGTCTATTTTAATTTGAAACCCTCAAGCTGATGGGCCTGGATTTGGTGCTAGATTGTATTAATCTTATTTTCCTAATTATGCGTACATATTTTAATTCCTATGGTATTAAATATAAGCACCCATCTGCAGTACCCATTTTATTTACAGTCATTGCTTAATGTTTGCCAAATGATGAGGCTCTCATCTAGTGTTTAAATAGAGCAATGTGACATTTTAAGCATTTATAAAAAAATACTGAATATACCCAGTAACTTAGTCTTGCAAGTTGCTTAAAAAAGACTTGCTACAGAAGTAATAATTACCATTACTTAAAGCTTTCGTGACTGCAGGAATTCATACTCTTTAGGTCTTAATTTTAGGTCTTAATTACCATCTCAAGCAATTCAAGGATCCAAGATAGCACAGTTGAATAACAGACCGCATCTCATGAACCTGAGCTGATTCCTAACAATGGCGTTTACATGTTTTTGCCCACGCAGGGGCAGAGTTACTCAGAAATGGAGGTGGGAACAGCCCACAGTGAGGTCAACCCGAACACTCGTGTGATGAACAGTCGTGGCATCTGGCTGACATACGTGCTGGCCATTGGCCTGCTGCACGTGGTGCTACTCTCAATCCCATTCTGCAGCGTGTCTCTTGTGTGGACACTTACCAATGTCATCCACAACCTGGTACGTATAACTTCTTCAGTAATTATTGTGTTCTGTCCTCTACTACATCATGTATTTTGCTCAAGATTTCATGACACAAACTGTCAAATATAAAACAACGTTGGGAAAATGGTATATGAACTTGCTACGAGGTTTTCGAAAACATGCACAGAATGCTAAATGTGTATTAAATTATGACTTCCCTGGATAATAAAAAAAAACTGCCGAAACTTAAAAAGTTACATTTCGAGGTATAATATTTCGTCTTCCTTTTGGGCTCAAAATACATGTTTATTATACGTGTAATATAACATTGGTGTGTTCATAAAAGTTTCTCATATCAAATACATCTGGCTGGCTTTTGAGCCTGTGTTCCAAAAATACTGAGTTTTCTGCAAAATGTTTGGTGTTTTAATGTGAATCAATTTGCTTTTTGTATTGTGCAGGGAATGTACATTTTCCTGCACACAGTAAAGGGTACGCCGTTTGAGACACCAGACCAGGGAAAAGACCGGCTGTTGACCCACTGGGAGCAGATGGACTATGGTGTGCAGTTCACCTCCTCCCGCAAGTTCTTGACAATTACGCCCATTGTGCTGTAAGTATACTGTATGTAGTTTCATTTATCTTGCACAACTCTCTCTGGACACTTCTTTACATTTTCGTATACTTTACCCTAGGAGGGTTCTAGCCATGTGCTGCATATTTTAACGGATGTTGAATAATGGATAAGGCAGCTTGTGGTGTCTGTGCATGGCTGTTATACGGACATGCTGCAGTGCATTTTACTTGCCCGTAGAGATTAAACACAACAGTGCAATCATGTTGCTTTAAAATGAAGTTTATAAACAAGGCTCAGGTTGCTAACAATGTGAACGCATTACATTTGAAATGTTACACACATAATGTATATATGTATTGTATATATGTACGTGTATATATAAAGCCCCAGATACAAGGATCATCAAGTCTTCCTTGACATGATGCATGTGTATCAGCTTGCACAGGTTGTATCAAAGCACATGGAGCTCTATGCCCTCTGAGCACCTGACCCTTTCACTTTTTTTGGATTAATACACTCAGATGGTATTTTTGACTTATGTTATGAATAGCCTTCTGAGGGGCATATTTGAGTGCTATTCTGGATTGGAGAAAAAAAAGAATATTGACCACCTCTGCTTTGCTGATGACGGTAATCATAGCAACTATTTACCCTAGGAGCAACCTTTTCTTAAGCCGGATTCAGATTAAAATAAAGAAATGAGGTGAATGAGAGAAATTGGGTGATTTTAGGCATCTTAATCTGATAATGAACCAACATACCAATGGTTTCCAAGAGAATAAAGTTTTCAATCGGTGCATATTATCTGCTATGACATGATCATAAACTGTAAAAAAAAGATTGAACAAAAGCTGAAATGTACGCAAATAAGCATGGAGGGATGCATGTTGAGAATCATACAGCGAGAAAGAAAAACATGGACCAAAATAGTGACCATTTAGCAAAGTGGGCTTGGACAAGATACGTTGTAAAAAGGGATGATGGTCAACAGAAGAGATGGGTCATGGAATTGGAGCCAAAGGAGTGAGAATATGCTCAAAGTGGAAACACTTTGTGGATATGGGTCGATGAGATCTGCTTCTGTGCAGGAGTGAGTTGGATTGTATTGCAGGACTGAGGGATATGTCAGCACAGGGAGGCCTTCCTCCAGTAGGAAAAGAGATCATGGCTGCTGCAGCTGCAGACGATGCATGTTTGTATACTGTAATGTCACGTTTTTATTGTTTGCTCGTGCAGGTACTTCCTGACGAGCTTCTACACCAAGTATGACGCAGTGCACTTTGTGGTGAACACACTATCCCTCATGAGTGTGCTCATCCCCAAGCTGCCTCAGCTGCATGGAGTCCGGATCTTTGGCATCAACAAGTACTGATGGTGCTGAATAGTCAGGGACCCAGAGAGAAAGGGTCCTGAGTTGGAGGCCCAGAACAGGGCGCTCAGAGCAATGGAGTCGGCATGAGAGGCCCGGCGTCAGGGGCCTTGGAGTGAGGGGCTTGGAGCTCAGGGGTCAGAGCAAGGGGACCGCACAACAGCAGGGATGTGGGGATTGGCAGCCATGTTGTGTGGCATTCTGTGTGCAATGCCTACTAGGATTTAAAAAGGTAACATTTAAAATGAAATGTCAACCCATTAGGTTATTTAGTTTGCTTATGTGAATACATGCTGTTAACCGTATAGTGTGCTTTTTGATTAAGGTTATTGTTACCATGGAGATTTACTGTTTTACAAATTTTATGTAAATTACAATTTGGTTTTAGTCATGAGGTAATTTGACGCATTGGTTGGAATTGCTTATTGCCCACAAAGAGAGTGTGGTATGTCATTTATTGGCATTGAGGTTTAGTGTTTTGAGTGCTTAGACTTGTATATTTTTTCCAAGCACAACGCTGAATTGTGTTGCATTTTAGATGTTATATGCAATGCATGACTGTCTATAGTTTATATATTCAGCCAGATTTAATTTCAGGAGCTTGTAAATTATTTTGTTGGTAATTTAAACAGGAAATATTTTACACATGTTTTGCTATACTTTTGTCAAATCTTAAGGTAAGGCACATGCCCTGTATAGTACTAACCTACCAGACTGAACCGAGATTTTACACAAAAAATTACATCACAACTTTTCAAAATAAAGTTGTGGTTGGACAGACTTGGCTAATCTTGCTTCAAGAAGAACACCATCTTTAGCTTGGTGTAATGTTTAATATTAAATCAATCATGGCAGTTGTGTTCTCCATATTACCCAAGAAATGATGCGAATGAGCTGTAATGACTGCATTGTGAACCATGTGAATAGCATCAATTAATTGATAAACAGTATATTTAAAGGTAGCCACAACTGACATCTTGCTTGTACAGTGGTTGTGATTGGAATTCTTGAACTTTATGCGACCGTTTATACATTTGTTTTTTTTGCATTAAGACACGATGGCATCTGGTAGTGCACATTAAGACGGAACTCCATAAAATTGACATAAGTATCACACTTGATGGTTGTACTGTATTATAAACTGGGCAGGTCCTGGTTCAACCTTTTGGAATAAGGCCTGCACTGCAGCATATAAAACTAAATGGCTCCATATGTAGGAACAAAATGCAACCCTTCAAGAATAAAGAATAATTGTAAATTGCTGGAATATTTAAACCTCCATTGAACTAGAGTAACCATTACATTTTCTCCTGCCAAAGAATTGTTTTACAGATTAAAGTTGATCATGAGATTTTTTTTATTGCCGTATTTAGTTTAAATCCTATGTAATTTGTTAAAACCTGAAAAAATAGGGTGTTTTAGAACATTCAAAAAAGTAAGGTCAGTAGATTTAATGCCCATCGTTAAGACCTTCCCAAAAGTTTTTTGATGATTGCAAGGCTTAATGTATATTAAAATTTGCAGGTGGTACTATACGCTTACCTGCTGGAATTTCCGCTTTATGCTATTGTATCTTTCCACAAACAAGTCTTGAAAAATCTTGCAGTCGTCTAGAGATGTGTACAGTACTGTGTAATGTACATAGCATTGTTAAGTTTCGATATATCTAGTAATCAATATGCGTGAAGCTGTTTCATACTCCCAGTTCAGATTTTGAATTGTGCATGGTTATAAATAAAGTGAACATATGGAAGGGACACGGAATGACCTGGGTTTTGTTTTAACGGTTGTCCCCAATACATGACAGATGGTGAGTTGTTTTTTGAGAATGTATTCTCGGTCTTATAATAATCATGTCACACTGCCGGTACTGTATTTGGTTTTAATATTGAAAGGGAAATTTATGATGTGCCACAGGCTTATCACGTTCAGATTTTTTTGAGATTTGAAAGTGTTATTTGGTGTAGTGTTTAGTCTATTCCGATAAAATGTGAATATTTTTTTATTTACACTTTGTAAGATACTACACAATAAATATGCAGTTATCTCACAAAATCCACATGGTATTGGACTGTTCCCTTATCAAAAATTGTACACACCTTTCGTTTTAGCTATGTATGCAACCATCAATGCACGCGTTCACAGTTTTATATGAATACTTAAGTTGTCATCTGGTGTGTTGGTTTTGTTTGGCAAGCAGGTCATGAAGCTATTAAAATGACTGCTTTGTAAAGAACAATAATCTGACCTGTGCATACATCCTGACAAACATTAGTCATGAAGATTTTTACAAAACGTCAAAAATGTAGTGAGGGAAAAAAGTATTTGATCTGCTGATTTTGTACGTTTTCCCACTGGCAAAGAAATGATAAGTCTATAATTTTAATGGTAGCTTTATTTGAACACTGAGAGACAATAACAAAAAAATCCAGAAAAACGCATGTCAAAAATGTTATAAATTGATTTGCATTTTAATGAGGGAAATAAGTATTTGACCCCCTCTCAATTAAAAAGATTTCTGGCTCCCAGGTGTCTTTTATACAGGTAACGAGCTGAGAGTAGGAGCACACTCTTAAAGGGAGTGCTCCTAATCTCAGCTTGTTACATGTATAAAAGGCACCTGTTCACAGAAGCAATCAATCAGATTTCAAACTCTCCACCATGGCCAAGACCAAAGAGCTCTCCAAGGATGTCAGGGACAAGATTGCTGGAATGGGCTACACGACCATTGCCAAGCAGCTTGGTGAGAAGGTGACAACAGTTGGTGCGATTATTCGCAAATGGAAGAAACACAAAAGAACTGTCAATCTCCCTCGGCCTGGGGCTCCATGCAAGATCTCACCTCGTGGAGTTGCAATGATCATGAGAACGGTGAGGAATCAGCCCAGAACTACACGGGAGGATCTTGTCATTGATCTCAAGGCAGCTGGGACCATAGTCACCAAGAAAACAAGGAAGCACATATATATGCCCGTCTGAAGTTTGCCAATGAACATCTGAATGATTCAGAGGACAACGGGGTGAAAGTGTTGTGGTCAGATGAGACCATAATGGAGCTCTTTGGCATCAACTCAACTCGCCGTGTTTGGAGGAGGAGGAATGCTGCCTATGACCCCAAGAACACCATCCCCACCGTCAAACATGGAGGTGGAAACATTATGCTTTGGGGGTGTTTTTCTGCTAAGGGGACAGGACAACTTCACCGCATCAAAGGGACGATGGACGGGGCCAAGTACCGTCAAATCTTGGGTGAGAACCTCCTTCCCTCAGCCAGGACATTGAAAATGGGTCGTGGATGGGTATTCCAGCATGACAATGACCCAAAACACACGGCCAAGGCAACAAAGGAGTGGCTCAAGAAGAATCACATTAAGGTCCTGGAGTGGCCTAGCCAGTCTCCAGACCTTAATCCCATAGAAAATCTGTGGAAGGAGCTGAAGGTTCGAGTTGCCAAACGTCAGCCTCGAAACCTTAATGACTTGGAGAAGATCTGCAAAGAGGAGTGGGACAAAATCCCTCCTGAGATGTGTGCAAACCTGGTGGCCAACTACAAGAAACGTCTGACCTCTGTGATTGCCAACAAGGGTTTGCCACCAAGTACTAAGTCATGTTTTGCAGAGGGGTCAAATACTTATTTCCTTCATTAAAATGCAAATCAATTTATAACATTTTTGACATGCGTTTTTCTGGATTTTTTTTGTTGTTATTCTGTCTCTCACTGTTCAAATAAACCTACCATTAAAATTATAAACTGATCATTTCTTTGTCAGTGGACAAACGTACAAAATTAGCAGGGGATAAAATACTTTTTTCCCTCACTGTATGTCAGTTTTAAATGCATAATATATAGGTATCTGGTAATTTTCCTCAGGATTCAACATTTACCAGTTGGAACCTAAGCTCAGAAATCTGTTGTAGAACTGAATCAGCATGCCTTATTTTTAAAATTGTCAAATAAGCACAGTTGCCAATTTTTGTAATACAAACATTGCAAGCCGTAATCTGGCATTTTGGTCAATGTTAATACCTACTTTGGAGAATAACAGTAGGCCCACAATAGCTAAAATAATAACTGAAATAATAACTGTGTGACCAGGGCGCAAGCACAGGCAAAGTTAATTATCCAGGAGGTCTAATGATGAAATAATCCACTCCATTAATAACACTAACACTTTTTTTGGTTCCTGGGTAGTAAGTGTTATTGCCTAATTGCTTATGCCTCAAAAGTACAGTTAATGGCTATTAGTCCCCACAAACTTTGCTTTTGTGACCAGGACAGTGATATTTTGAAATGTACCTATTTTCAATGAGAAAACGTGTGCATTTGTGTCATTCCTTCACATAAAATCCTGGTCACAAAAGCAAAGTTTGTGCGGAATAATAGCCATTTTCAATACTTTTTAGGCATAAACAATTAAAAAATAACACTACCCAGGGACAAAATCGTGTTACATAGTGTCATTATTGTGTTTGGTATATAGAACATATAAAACGTTTAAATTAGAATTCAAAATTAATGGTAACATACGGTACTGTAGACGTTAATCTACAGGGACTCATTTTCAATATGAAATGTTTTTTTTAAAATGTTAATGAAAAACACAAATTTCAGAATTACAGCAAACATAGAATGTACATTATTCACCTTAAATTTGGGGTGTATTTGATTTGTTTAATTAGACACGTTATAAACATGCCTAATTAGCATACACAAAGCCTCTTATTTAAAATTACATTCCGATCAAGGTCACATGCAATGCTGGACAATTGGCCATTGTTATGCCCCTAGTGCTGCTCAAGATTTCACTTTGCTCAACTTTTGAATGAGCCATTCAGAGTTGCCTTGTCGGATGGAACATGCTGGTGGCGTGTAATGTATTTTACAGCAGACAAATATGTAGCCACCAGGAGGTTCTGAGTCTTGTGCGAATCACAAATGTTAAAATTGTCAAATGCATGTGCTGCCCGGAGAGATCTATCTCTTCCAGCTTTATTAGCTGCGTGAGGCGCATGAGTGTTTGCTCACATTGGTAGATTTTAATTATCAGCGTTGAGATTCCGCTTCACTATTTACTGTTGTGAGCAATTGCTCCAGGTGCACAATACATGATGAGAAGTCGGTCATGTTTGCGGTTGGGGCAAAGGACAGCATGACTTTGCTATACTGTACAGTTCATTCCTCTGGCTATATGTAGTGGCCAGTGTGCTCTTATCGTTATCTGCAATGCGCGCCGTTGGTGTGTGGCTATGGCTGGCCATTGAACATTAAAGATTCACACGAATGAAAACATTACCTAAGGAAAACCTTATCTTGCCCATAAGGAATGCATTAAACTTTTTTTCAATGCAAGTGTCTTATCAAATTCGACGCTGTTATTCGAATAAGCTCAGTTGTGCTGCCAGGCATTTAATCACAAAGTTGTAATAGATTCCACATTTTATTGCATGAAATACTTTTTCATGAGGCAGCAAACAACATACTTTCCATGTATTTCGACGTCATTCATGATGTATAAATGTACTGAAAAATGTACTTGCATGCTCTATTATTTCCCTTCCATGGAAGCATTTTTATTAACATTTGACATATCTTATTGTGCAGTAGCTGGCTTTTTAAAGAGTCAGCGAAATTGTTGGTGTAATTACATACTGAAAGAAAATACTGCAGCTATATTTTCTGGTAAGCATATTGCATAAAATCTAATGTAATTCGCCACACCACAAATTACTCCAAACTATGTATTTTATGAGCTTATAGCTGCGTAACGTGAATAATCCATGAAAGGTGGATTATAGGAGTGGGACGCGTCAATAACTACTTCAATAATCTGCGGAAAAATCGCTGATTATAGGAGTTTTGCCTTTTTAAAGGAAACTAAAATGATTCAAATCTGTCATATTGGTCTATAGCTAAGGATTTGTGCACGTTTGAGATTTAATAATCAAAACACATTGTCTCTGTCAACAGACCACGTCCGTCGGCAGACAATACAATATAAACAATACATCGTGCAATGTGGGAGTAGTGTCACGGCTATCCATTTCCAGTAAAAATGCAATAAAGCATCTGCGAAAAACTTTAACGGAGTTCCACTTTCAAGAACAAATACGCTAAACAGTTACACAATCCATTGGAATTTGCATTGCGAATGTATTCTAGAGCTCGTGATAAATCTTAAACCAATTAGACGTACAATTTCACAGCCAATATCATGCTTCATTAAAACATTTGGTTAGGCCACGTCATGGTCTGGCCAAAATTATGTCGTAAAGCCACCACCACCCGACAAAGCCAAACTAATTAAATCGTCACGTGCATAGCGTATAACGCTGCAGTTAATTATTGTTTCAGAACAACAATCCTCACATCCAAATTTAGCAATTAGATACCAAATTTTATGAATGTATATTATTGAAATATGTTTATTTAACTTACTGATCATCTGAATCATAATTGGAACGTTCAAACGATGGTATACGTGACGATTTAATTTGTTTGCTTGTGCCCGGTATTTTAGGGTCGTCTCAAAGGCACAAATTTCACCGAATCATCACGTGGCCGAACAAAAAATCTATTATGAATCATTAACCAGTTGTGGTCAGCAGGTGGCGTCATAGGTTTTAAACAAAATTACAACCACAATTCAAGCGATGAACAGGAGAGTTTTGTTATTGTGTTCTGGGTTAAAACGACTGCTCTTCAAAGATGGCTTAGATGTCAGTCATGTTATGTGGGGTATGTTTATTCTATGTCAAAGTTTCGAGAGCATTATTGATGGTTAGTTGCAGCTGCCAACACCTTTGAAGGTCCATTACTGGAAAATTATACACCAGCCATTTCTGTGACCAGTCACAAGCTAATCACGCAGTTATTTCAATGCTAAATTATCCGAACCAAACATTAAACTAATTTTCAATGGTACAGTATATTTTTTCAAGTAGTGGTATCCCAAACTTTCGCAGCAGCTTAAATTCCCTTTTCACATCATCAATATGTAAACCCCCGCCTCCCCCCTCGCCGGTCTGCACATGTTCACCCCCTCTACACCGTTCATCATGCTAAGTCCGCCAATTAAATGCAAATTTTTATGCTAATTCCTTTGTCAAGGCGCTCTGTTTCTTCTCACACAGCTTAAAGGTCGCGGTCAGAGCTTGGCTGTGTTCGCTCCAGCGCTGTCCTCGAGACAGTCTCGTCCCTTCACCTGATGAAGGCCACTTGTGTTGTGGCCAAAACGTCGTGAGAATTTTATTGTGTTATTTTATTTTATTAATTTATTATTTTATTCTCATTCTACGTGACTTTACCGAAAGAACCAAAGAAGATATACACCAGAATTTTACAAGTACTCTACAGTAGAACTAATCTCGTTCACGGTTGGGTGGGAGACGGTTATCGCGAATTCCATTATCGCGGATTCCATTATCTGATGTTAACAGAAGATTTACTCTATCATCAGCCATGAGCAATCCACTGCTGGATGAAGGCCTTATCAAGCCATCGACAGCTTTCACGGGTCTGCAATGTAACTAACATTCCACCCAGCACCTGCACACCAGCTGATTTCATCACTCTATCTACTTGGTTGATGTCTTCTAGGACACGTTTAATTCCTTGGCAGCCACTTCTTCACAACTGTGGACCATCTGCCGTCATTCATTTGAGCGCCGTGTCCTGCCCAAGCACATTAATTTATTGATATCGTTTACTATCTAATTCATGCTTTCCCCTGTTTCTCAATGTAATTTCAAGCATGCATCTCTATGCTTCTTTGGCAACCTTTATGTATTTGTTCCATTTGTGTTAATTACCACGTTAATGAACCTTATGTCATAGCATGTAGTACACACTGATGAAAATCTTTGCTCTTGAGGCACACTGGGTGTGTTACTTTTTAATGATCAAGTCCAGCTTTTCCAAAAGCCCTGCAACATGTTCCCGTCTGCCTCTTTATCGGATCATTTTGATTCTGGTCGCCTTCAGGACCTGCGTTTTCGAGCTGTGTCTCTCTGGCCCATACATCAATGAAAATAAAAAAAATGTATTGTAATACAATTGCAATCATGCGAACAGTGAATGGTTTACGTACAAATGCTGAAAGCATTCCCACCCCTATTGGTTAGCATGCACTGCTCAGTGCAACGAGCACTTGAAGAGTGGTACAGCAAACGTTGAAATATATGTGTAAGGGACTTGCTGAGGAGGCGAACCCTATGAAGAAATTGACAAATATAAAGTCAACGGGTCTGATGGCTTGTGAGTTCAAATAGCGGCGCCCGACTCTCATTGGCGAGGAGCTATCACAGCAGGAGCCGACGTGGGGCGAACAATCTGATTGGAAGGCGGGAGAACCGTTTAAGTCACATTTGTCTTCAGGCTAATTGGATCATTTGGAGGGACCCTGGGGTCCCGCAAAAATCAGGTCAATAATTATTATTGTTGTTCAGTCCGCCCACTCGTGACCCCGACAGCAACGCGCCGCCCGCCCAGACTCGCGCCAACAAGCGCCAGCAGCAGGCGGCGATCGACACGATGGGCGCCACCCCACCGGCCAAACGCGAGCCCCGGGGGGCGTCCGCCGCAGTGGCGCGCGGCGACGACGCCCTCCGGTCAGCCGTCGATCCTCGGCTCCTTTGCCAAGGCGAGCCCACCGCCCAGGCAGTGAATTTAACGTGTTTACGTAATTTTTCAACTTTTTACGAAACTTAGTGCCCCGAGTAGCTGTCGACGAGGCCAATCGATTGACCACTAGTTTTGTTGTCGGTAAGGCAAGACTCGTGTCGCTACGCGGTTTTTCCCACCCCGGGGCAGTGATGGGACTCCGGGGTCCCGCCAATTGCTTCAATTGAAGGAGCCCGGAAAAAAACAAATGCAAATGAGCGGTCGTTTGGCAGAGAAACGAAGGGGATTGGTCGAGAGTCGGGAGAGTTCCAGAAAGGATGGGGAAAAGAATAAAAGGAGTGGATAGAAAGGGTTCTGGGTGGCACCTGAACCGAGTCCAGGACTGCAATTCCCTCAAGTGTTACACGCTGTGCTGAAAGACGTAATAAAGTCCAAGTTCAAGACCTACCCGGGCTAGGAAGTCACAAAAATTACAGCCAAAGGCCCGACGGGTCTAATGGCTTAATGTCTTTTTTTTAATGAACGTGAATGGACAGCAAATTCAAGTTGCCTTGAACGTGCACTCTCACTGGCCTGATTTCCCCAGAACTGGAATTATTGAGCAAATTGTGTTGAATAAATGTGGTTTATCCATGATTACCAGTGTTAAAAACTCCACAAATTAGAAATTTGCCAAGCAAACCTCAAGAAGTCGCGATATGTTGCCAGATATACCTTATGAAAGCACAATAAAGTGTCGCTAGACAATTTATCAGATATTAAACATAGTAATCTGATTTGTACAATGATGATGAAACATAGAACACTGATACAGGATCCTAAATTGCAGAATGACTTCCTGTTCTTCGTGAAAATTTCGTGGTCCAGAAGAGACGGTCGGAATATTTGTCCCGTTCACATTTAACCGGTGCAGTGTTGCAGCATAGGCTCAATTGAAATTATATTATCCGCTAATGTTTCTATCAACAAATTCTGTCGCCGATCGGCAAATTTTTATCAAAGTGGTCTCTTCCAGAACCGGTGCAAATTTCATATCCACCAATCTGCTTCGGTCATGGGTGGAGCAGTGTCTGTTCAAAAGTCCATTCCAAGGCTCATCCGAGGTCGGGGAAGAGTCTTACGGTACGCGTGACTCTCCCTGCTCTCTGGTCGTGTGTATGCACATTTGTTCAATCAGGCAGGGAGCACGCTCCACACGAGCAGCACATAACCTGTATTTTCCACAAAGCACAGGTGCCACTCTTTTGGTGGGGTGTGGAGCTGCAGTCACAGAATGTGCTGCGTGCAACCCCTGTATTCTGTGTACGCTGGGCTATGTGCTGGATTCTGGTCACCCATCATTAATTAATTCATGCTCGATTTGCGCATTTTTTCATGCATTCATTCACACGTTAATCAATACATTCATTTATCTCATTCAACCAATAATTTATGCATTTGTCTTATTCATGAAGCATTCGTCATGACTGCATGCATTCATAATTACATCCATACATTCGTTATATAATTCATCCATTTATCAGTGAATTCATTCATGAGTGCATTCATTCACTCATTCATTAATGCCTTACTCAATTAATTCTAATATCCATTCATTCATACGCTCATTGGAGGACTCAGGGTGACTTTAATCCTTCTTAATCCACTGCTGTTAACATCTGCACAGATAATATCTCTTGCATGACAGCGTGCGGCCCAGGAGGAGGGCTTGCGGCGTGCAGTGCTTTCAACCAACGAAGGTGCACGATGCCTTGGCCACGCTGGGAGTGCAGAGGCAGGTGCAATCAATGCACACGAGGCATGCCACCCCCTGCCTGCATCTTGTGCTTGTCAGCCTGCGCCGCAATCCTACAAATTCGCACGTAATTCCACTATACACTCAACAATACCTATCTCAACATCGTACTATTGCAACCCGCGAGGAGTTCATCGGCGAAACTCAACCGAATATCCACAATGGTTTTCTTACGGATTAGTGAAGTATTTTTTTATCTTCGTAACGGCACAGATAAAAGGAACTGTCTGACACAGTGTTTTACATATACGATTTTAACAATTAGGATTCAGGCCTGTTCAAAAAAGTGATATAATTCCAGAATTCAGGCTCCTGCCCGAATTGGCAACCAACTATAGTTGTCTAAAAAATACAGGCACATGGCATATCGGGGGGTGGGGGACAGGGTGTAAAGGTGGCAGCTATAATGCAACTCAAATACTCGAATAATGTGGTTCATACATATTTGCCTCCCAACCCATAGGGCTCTCTAAACTCTATACAGTCCTGCAAGATAATTAATATGTTATGTTTATGTCACTAGCACAGACATAGAGACTGGCACGGTCAGGTGCTGTCCTAGGCATAGATATTAATCTTAACCGCATTAGCCTTAAGCTAAGGTGCAATGAACAACAGGGGAATTGGTTCTCATGAATGCTAATTGGCATTTGGACAGCTGATGCCTGGCATGTGGCTGACAGGTCGCACACATATAAGAAGCAAGTTTTCCTAACATTTGACTGTAACTGAAGCGAAGGTAATAAGCAGTGGAATGATGCTATTATTGATTTGTGTTGCACTGTACAATGCATGCACGTATGTCGCTAGTCACTGGAGCTTAATAATGCATATTATCTGGCTGTCAATGTATTTTCAATACAGGTACACGTGTAATAAGTCATTTTCACAGCAAAGGACCACATCAGCAGACAATTGGGACGTTGAGCAGATGGATAGAGGAGACCAGTGTTTGGGGATTGGTGGCTAGAGCGGCGTTCTGGGGATTTCTTTCCGTGTATTCTTCAGTTCGGCAGTGCCCCTCTCCCAGCCCTGACGGATGTGAGAGAGTGGCCGGGCCAAGCACGGCAGCGCCAGCAGGAAGCGGAACACCAGCACGGCACACGGCAGCAGCAGGGAGATCATGTAGGAGTGCGGCATCCCCCAGCTGTATGACTGCACCGAGAGGAAGGACGTGCCTCCAAAGCAGATGGTGTGAGCAGTAACGAGGGCCAGCCCCAGGTAACCTAACGTCGACTGAGAATACAAGAAAAATGGAGAGAAAAAATCGCATGAATGCGTAATGATATTGCACTACATCGCCAGCAAATGTTAACCCCTGTCGTATAATTTATTTGTGCCAGTTTTAAGTTAAAGAAAAATCCCCCCCCCCACCCCGTGTAGATTAGACATGTGGATTATCCAGCAAGGGTTAACATTAAAAAAATATATAAAATCTTCACAAACATTCCACTGCTCAGCAGTTCACTGTTAATGCACCGTAATGCTTTGTAAAGCTTCTTTTGCACACACAGGAGTAAGCAAAAAACTGGAGCAATCCATTCAATGTGAACGTTAGCATATCACTTATCTCCACTGGTGCATTAGGCGCTATTGAAAAGGACGGTCGCTGCATGACTTGTGCTTAAGGAGCCTGGTTAGAATTTGTAATGGATCTAAGGGATGTAATGGTCTTACCTCAATATCGGACATCACCTGCTCGTTATCTATAATTAGTGCTCTTATGCATCAGCCTGCATTAATCCCGGCAGAAGATGTAATTTAACTATGGAATATGGAACATGTAGGGGAAATGTGATGTCAGATTTATCTTCCATTTGTCACTCAGTAGAATCTACTGCATTCAAATTCCATTATATAGTTTAGGATTATTAAAATATTTATTTGTGACCATGTCCAATTAATTCTGACCGAAAATAAATGTATCTTTCAAAAAAATTGCAAACATTTTTTTTGCAATGTTTCTCATGCGATTCCAGTAATTACAAATATCTCAAAAAGGATTAAAATATATTTTTTGCAAGCCTGCTTTTCAACCTGCTTCATCCCTATTTTAGTCCGTGAAACCCGGCATGTAAGGATATATAATTTAATCGATAAACTTGTATTCTTACGCTCACGATTCATACGTAGAATTGCTCACTGGAAAATAGATTATTTAAGATTTCTGAAAATCACGTACATATTGAACGCTGTTACATCTAAGCAAATAGAATAACGAAGGAGACAAAAAAACAACACAAGAATACAAAAAGTTATCAATTATCGAATGCTACTCTGCATTGTGACGATTAATTAAATTACTTTGATGGTTAATCATTCTATATGTATTGGCTGCACTATTCATACATTATGACATTTGTTCTAGAAAAAAAACTTATGCTAATGTGAGTAGTTAGTTTGCAAGGCAGTGCCGTATAAAACAGTGTTTAAAACTCTTCGGTTTCATGGAAGCGTAGACGAGATACATAGATGCGAAAGCTGCATTTTGTGCCATTCAGCTGTTGTGTGCACGCATTTTCAGGAACAAAATGTTCCAGGTAGTTTCATATTGTGTTGATGTACTGTTTACCTGCACAAAGCGGAATTCCCTCCAGTTCAAGCTGTTCCCCACTGAAGGCAGTGAAACGATCGCCTGGACAGCGAGAACACCAATCCCAAGGATCCCAAAGGCAAGATAAAGCTCACCCTGCCACAATTCCAGGTTAGACGTCTTGGTAGTCTTATTGGCAGCAATCTAGAAAATAAATTAGTCAGGAGCAAAGCCGTGTCATTTTCACTAAACGTTAAGCATTACTTCTGAAGTTTTCGCTCGCAAGAAGATGCCTCAATCTTTTTAAAATTAAAAATGGGAGACGAAACTTTTTCAATAATTACAGACCCATAAGTCTTCTGGCACATGTAAATGCATTGCTAACGACGATCTTAGGAAACCAAATCATGCACAGTTTAGAGGCCATGTAATCATACAAGCAAGTTGGATGTATAAAATTATTGACTACCATTCACCACATAAATGCTCATGGTTCGATCCTGAAAAAGGCTTTTGTAGAAAATACATTTATTTAAATGGAAACTGTTTAAGTAATCAAGGTCCTCACAAATAAACGCCTAAACGAAATAAAATAGAAAAATGATCAAATATTGTCTGTCGGCTTTCATCGCCAATATTATTATTCAGAAATAGTTTATTTTTGAGTTAGATCGTGTAGGTATGCCAATTTACAGACATGAAATAATTTATAAAGATAGAACAGCTAAATTTTTTTGATGAAAGTAACAATTTACAAATCAGAAGAGATAAGATATTACAAGCAGATATAATATCACTCAGGCTATTCATAGGGGCTTTACAATATGATTTCTAAACATTGGATGAAAAGAAACAAAGGCATAAACATAAATGTTGAAAATAACATATTAGATTTGTGAATGACAAATTAATGGCAACTAATGCAAAGGAACTACATTATTATTACAGATCAGATTCAAAAAGTAATTTGTTGGGACAAATTACTCTGTTGTTGCAAAACAATAAAAAATACAGACATACTATGTGGATGAATGAAAACATTAATTAATTTATTCGGAGTGGTTTTGAGATATTATCAACACAACAAATTGTGCTTCAGGGAGCAAACTATTTATACGGACAAACAAAAAAAATGGATCATCAGAAATTCAACATAATCAACTCCATTACATTGTGAGCAGTTTTTTATGGCAGTAAACAAAGAAATGAAACAAACTGGCTAATTTACCTGATTGATAATTCTCTGTGTAGCGCTATCTATGATGGGTTTTCGGATGGGCATGACGAGCGTGTAAACCGCATGCAGGCAGCCCAGGAGGAAGGCGGCGATCCCCAGCTCCTTGCGGCACCGCAGCCAGCGGTCGAGCCAGCCGGGAAAGCGGCTGTACTTGGTGCCGCGATGCAGCTGCACGAAGCCGGCCAGAACGCCGGGCAGATAGACCAGGGCTAGCATGACGAGCGATGCGCACGGGAACGCATTGTTGGGCATTTGGATGGCGAGCTGGTAGAATGTGCTTTTGTCATTTTCCAGGTAGTAGTACAGGACATATATGACGGTGGAATAGATGTAAAAGAAGGCCACAATCCCCAGGGAGAGGGTTACGGTCAGCCGCCAGGTCGGGAACAGCTCCAAAGGGATGTTTTCCAATTCCTGAGATGCTGCCAGTGAGCCTCGGTCCACTGGCATAAGGCCCATACGGTTGACTAGAGCGTGCACTTGAGTCTTGGCATCGGGGTCATCACCGCAAATAAAAACCTGTGAAATGATAGTCCAGCGTGGCTAAATTGTGACAGGGCAGTGAATATAGAAGGGAAGGCTGTTGACCATAAATACGCACACAAGGCTGCTCAGCCAGCAAACTCTTCAGTGATGACTCGAAGTTAAAGCTGTGCAGTGTCAAACAATAAAGCACTTTGAGTTGAGATGGCCATTTGACCTTATGCCACCACTCAAAGATTTTACTCGTGCTTCTTGCTGTCAATAAATAGGTGCATGTACAATTATACATGATTGATGTATGAACACGGTATTTAGTTTGTTATGCAGACATTCAATTATTTAATGATCAGACATTGTAAATAATGAATGCAAACTACATAATCCATAGCTCATTCAGTTGTGAGCTTTTATGCACAAACCTTGGATATGATTCAAGTACAAGAAATAAACAGCGAAAGTTATTGTTATTCTTTTTGTTGTGGTAATAAAAGATCAATGCCCTTGAAACTAAAAGATGGTCTGCTGCTGTTAAATTATTGCTCTATCAGATTTAGGAGATGTGTGGTGGTGCACGCCGCTAACACAGCATCAGACTTTAGAGATAGGGTTGATGGGTCAAGTATATATACAAAGTGTATGCCATACCCCCACTTTCCAGGGTATACAAGGTGGCCAGTTGATGAAAGCACGGAAGGTAGATTGTTATCCTATCTTAATGGGTATTTAATGTTAATTTGCTGTACGTGTGGATCTAATCCGAGATTTTAACACAGTGCTCATTCAGAGATTTACCAAGTTTTCCAATGCAGGAACGTCCTGAAAGTCCTGGAGGTCTCGAAGCTTTCGTGGCTAAATTAATCCCACATTACTTTGTTATATTGATACGATGAAGTTCCACCTCTGGCTCAGGACTACCTACAGAGATATCATCTTACATCGGACTGTGTAGCTTAATATCGTGCCTTAGTCTAAAGTGCTTTACATTAATTATATAATTGAACATACGGTGATCGTGGTTAAAAAAATAGAGAGTGGGGTTATTAAAAGTGGCGGTGTAGTTATGCTGACAGTTAGGAGGACGAATTGGAGTGGCTAAGAAGGGGTTGAGGTAGGCCTGGACAGTGGCCTGCAGACATTTGGTCATTGGCCTCTCTAGTTGTGTTGGGTATCTCACAAACAGGGGCACTGGTGCTGCAGAAAGTGCCGGGAGTATGCAAGCATCACCTGCTTGCTGGAATTCTCCAGCCCTGACTGCAGGGCCCATGCCGACAGCGTGTTGAGGCCTTTCACCACGTGCGCCTGCGGGAATATTTTGGCCAAGTGCTCTGCATTGGAATCCTCATATTGCCCCTTGTGCTTGTTATTGCTCAAGTCCAGCAGCGTCTTGCCAGCGAGGTCTCCCACTGCATCGTGGAGGGAGCTGTAGTGATGCCGCATAACGGCTATAATCACCAGATCAGCCTCGCTAGCGGCATCAGCGTACGAGGCGATGCGGGAGCCCGCGGGAAGCAGGGAGGACGCAGCCTCGGGGTTGCGGCTGCCCAGCACCACGGCGATGCCCCTCTGATGGAAGCACATGGCCAATGAGCGTCCCAGGTCTCCCATGCCCAGCACTGCAATGTTCCTGCTATACTTCTTAGCAGCAGCAGCTGCTGTTGTTGTTGCACACTCGCGTTCGGGTGCGAGAGGAAAACCGCCGATATCCATGCTCTGCGATGCAGATATGTGGGAGAAAAACAGAACTCAGGCACAGTAATTAATCGTTGGAGTTTGAATCTGTAAATAAACGCAGCAGTTGCGTAGGTTTTAGTGCTTGTGTTGTGTCACTCTCCGATGTGTTTTCGGTGTTGTGTCAAATTTTATTCAGACAAGCTGAACAACATGCGGTAGAAGCCGAAAACACATTGAGGGGCTAAATTAAGAAGGTACTCTTTATTAATGTCACCATATGTGTGTGACTATTGAAAGAACAACACCTCTAAGGCAACTTAGAAGAACACTAACAGAGGTAAAATACCAATGTCATGTTGCATTATGTGCACGCTCGTTTTACAAATCACTGAAAATCGATTAAATGTATCAATGTTTCACGGCTATGTCTTTACTTTTAACATTTTAAAGTGTCGACATGTTTGCGGCTCATTGTTTGTATATAAATCGCAGATCAATTTGAACAGAATAATGTCATATTTAACAACAGTAAAGAAATAATTTACGTAACTATTTCGATAGCGCTGTAACATGGGAAGACAAAAGCGACTAAGAGGTGAACCAACCACATGGTGTTGAAGAAAAGTCTTTCTATGATTAACCACATCACATACTATTAATCAAATACCAATAACGAACATCAATTGCCAATATACTTAGTATTTTTTAACTATATAAAGGCATTAAACTCTTTGGAAATGTATGAAGTCATCCAAGCTCTCACAAATAAGGGTCTAAATCATATATGATATAGAGAATTTGTCATAACCATGTACACAAGAAGGCAACAGCTACCCTGATATTACATAAAGCAACAATATATACGTGAAGGAGACAGACAAGGAGACACGCTTTCACCAAAGTTATTCATACCGACATTATAAGTTGTTTTCAAAAACATAATTGGAGAAACAAAGGCATAAATGAGTACAGAATATATTCATCATCTCAAATTTTATAATTACATAGTCTTCAATATCACGAAGGGGGAGGAACAGCAATAAATCATGGAACGCATTAATAATCATTAAGAATCATTAATGATCATTAATAATCAGGCTGCAAAGTTGAGCTGAATATAAGTAAAAGAAAAGTCACGCTCAACAAGATTAAATTTTGATTTAAATCTTTCGTAACTGCAGGGATCCATATTCTTGGTTCTTTCGGTAAAGTCACGTAGAAGGGAAACAAAATAATAAAAATATAAAAAATTAAATTCTCACGTTTCGACTGCAACACAAGCAACCATCATCAGGTGTGAAAACCATTGCAAGAAAATGTGAAAAATTTGAAAAATGTTCTTGCTGTAGTTTTCACACCTGATGATGATTGCTTGTGTTGCAGTCGAAACGTCGTGAGAATTTTTTTTTATATTTTTATTATTTTGTTGTTTCCCTTCTACGTGACTCAACAAGCTTGTTAAACAACTGTGCCCCACCAACATTTTATTCGTGGGAGACAATTGGAAAACACATCAGAGTTGCTTATATATAAACTTGATTTGAAGCTTTCGTGACTGCAGGAATTACTCTTTGGTTCTTTCGGTAAAGTCACGTAGAAAGAAAAATAAAAAAATAATAGAATACGACGTTTCGTTTCCAACACAAGCAACCGTCATCAGGTAGAACTACATTTTAGAGAGAGACAAAACACAGACACGGAGACACACAGGTCCAACACCATGTGAGACTAGGCTCTAAGGAAAGCTGTCTCGGGTGTGGACCAATCAATTTCAAGGACAGTGCCAATACATTATCAGATTTATGTGTTTTGTTTGCATTCCGACCGCAGGTATTGTGGTCAATGTAAACATGGCTCCTTGTAAAAAAGGTGTCAGTTTTGTTGCCAGATAAAAGGGTAAAAAAACAATTATCATATTTTGCTACTGGCAAAGGAGGTTCCAATGGTATAGGATAGTTATTGAAGGTGGATCTGGATCAACGTGAGGAGAGTAGGCTTAGAGTGCTTTCGAAAAGTTTAACATGTTACGTGAAATATTTTAATGCGCATTTTGGTAGACATTCCATTGTCTACATACGTCAACATTACATTAATGGCAAGTCAGAATGAACGATGTGTGCTTGGAAAATGTGTTTTCTTTCAGTACATCATTTATATCGTATAATGCATCCAAGTGAATAGCTTATTTTGAGGATTAAAATTTTATTATTTATTCAAATGCTTTCAATTGTGAGCTACATTTATATATTTATGACAATTTGGAAAACACAATAAATAAATATAATTAAATAAGAGTAACATTATTTGTCTGCAAAAATAAACATTAAACATTATGTTTCTGTAAGGAGCAATACCGAAATACAATTCGAAAATATTTACCAACGTATACTATTTTGACAATTAGATTGCACTTATATTTACTCTGACACAACAGTATGAGTTATGCGGGTTGACTGAATTCCTGCAATGCATTTGTCAAAACATTCTGCCATGTGTGCATGCACCTCGCTTCACGGTGTGGCCTTGGACATATGCCACTGCACCACACAGACTACTACACTTGTGTTGTAAATTATGATATACCACTCATCCCTGAGAATTTGCTCCATCCTATCAGACCTTGGAAGTTAAGCTTGGTGTAGCCTGGATACCGCTTGGATGGGTGACCACCACCATGCATAAAACCGATAGTGTAGGTTCTGCGGGCAGTAGAGGAGGGCAGTGCAACAACATTCATTGCTGTCCCGTTGTTCCCCCAACTTCATTAACTCGGACTGACCAGCATCATGAAGTATGGTCAAATAACCTTCACGGCCTGCATCGTCGTGGAGTAGATTAATACTCAACCCAGCGAGGCAGTGGTCTGCCAGGGAGCTGCACTTACAATCTGAAGCCTGCAAGTTCACATCTCAGCGGTCAACTCAGTCCACGGTCACCGCTTCAGGATCGATGTAATGAATTGCACTTTGGTCGAAGTCAACAGTGGTTGCCTTGGACAGAAGCAGCCCTCCATAGGAATATATAATTTCTATCACTAGATTAGAGCCAGCAGCCAATATGAACACTACCCAATATTAAATTCAGTCGGTAGGTACTTTGACATTACAGTATTTATTCTGAGAGGAAACAATAAAACATGTAAAGAGGTGCAGCCCTGCAATTCCTTCCTCAGGTCACTGCTGGCAGAAGAGCCCCCACTAGATGTCCAGATGTCACTAGATGTCCACCACAAACAATGCGTTGATCGACGAACTGTGATGCACCCATTTGTACTGCTGGGTGGACAGAAACATGTTTTAACTGTAATGCCGGCAGAACGAATTGTCAACCTCTAGATTGCAAGTCCATTGTGCTGATTGTTACACTACGGAAGCTTCCCTATCCCTTGGGACTATCTGCAGAAACAATAAAAAAATGTTTCACGAAACAAATTACAAACCTTTGAAGCAAATATGCAATGGTACCTACCTCTCTTCAGCTTGTGTACAGAGGTTTGTCTAAGATGATGACAAAAGCACCAAGGATCAGCGTTGCGAATTAATAATCCAGAGAGGAAAAAAATAGAACTGAGAGAAAAACAGCTCGAAGCCTTCCACAGGACAATACGGTAAATAATTCAGAAATGCATTTAGAAATTAATAAACTTCCAGAACATGGCAGAGAATTGCAATAGTAAGCCACTGGTTTTTCAGGATTAGGTGCGGCCTCTCAGTACATGTATAACTTTGTCAAATTTACTTTTGACCACAGAAATTACTGGATGATTTTATGGCATGAGAAAAGGGAGTGGCATTCATATTTGGGGTTTTGGGTGGAGTGATGTGGCTATGCGGTATGTGTTGAATGTTGGATTTTGAGCAGAGGCTAGCCAGCTATCTCCACAAACCTCTATTTTTCCACTTTTAATTTACTAATATATTTATTTACCGTTATGAGTTATTTCACAATGCAACCTGCTAGGATGTTGTAAATTATACACCTAAGGTCTTCCCTGAAAAATAACTTTCTCAATGGGCTATAACCATCAAAGGGAAAGTCTTTCCATGCTAAAATGAACATTCAGCTGTGTTTCGATTAGCACGGGTGGCTACGTATGGTGCGAAAGAAGTTCAAAATACATACATGATCCTGAGCTTGTGGCTGAAATGCCACATTCCTACAATTTGAACCATTTTACGGATAAGAAACATTGTCGGGGTTAGCCATAGGGATAGCTTAAGAAATGAAGAAAAAAAAACGAACAGGAGTCATTGATGCGCTTATTGAAGCAAAAAAAATGTGCAAATGGTCAGGACACAATATGAGAACAGAAGGTAGACATAATCTGCTTAGAGGATACTAAGGGAAGACACAAAAACAACAGAGGAAGATAGCAGAAGAGATGACCATAGCAAGACAACATCTAAGAATTTGGAGACCACGACTGGATCAGAACAACTAGGGAATGGAATAAATATTGGGAGGGCCTTTTCCCAACAGCGGGATGGTAACAGCAACGAAAACAACACTTACAACAGGCGCGGTTCGACCACTAGGGGCGTTGGGGCATAACCCCACCAAGCAACTGGAGATGATAAATTATTATTTTTCTCATAAAAAAGACTTTTCTTTCAATAGTTTTGCTTAAATATTTTTTTTAACAATGATGATTATTTCAACCTGAATTGCCTAATGAAGATAACATTTTAAGTTGTTCATATTAGAAACCGCTGCAACACCACAGTCTGATGTGTGCCTCGGGGAGGTATCGGGGCGGCTGTGAATTGAGAGATGTCCCCCTTCCATTCGTTGCGATGAGCTTCTAGCATTGTAGCCACGCCGTTCGAGACCCATTCAGGGCGGTGAAAAAGGCGCCCGTGGCTGTAGTGAGACGATGTCACGAGGCGAGGTTGCGCTGTGCAAAGAGAGCAACCCACGGTCTACACGCTCCAGGAGGAAACAACAGCAATGACGATGGCAGCAGGTGCAGCAAATTAAGAATTAGAAGGCCAATAACATGGCGAGGTTTTTCTTAATTATAACGCAATATTTTCAGAGGTCATCCACAACAGCGCCACCTAGTGGAAATGTCTCGAGCCGCCACTCACAAACTATTGTTGGCTTCCCATGAACTGCAAAACAAAGTGGGATCCAGCCTGGCAACAAAAGAGACTCCCTACCTACCATTCTATTCCTCTGCCAATATGATGTCAATGTTG